GTATATGATGTGTATGTATATGTATATGATGTATATGTATATGATGTGTATGTATATATATATGATGTATATGCATATGTATATGTTTATGATGTATATGTATATGATATGGTTGGTTTCATCTGAGAACCAGGGTGACATGAAAGATGGTTGGTTGGTTTCAACAAGAAGGCAAGAAGGAAAGAAGGCTAGTTGAGCAGAGAGAGGTAGCTTTTGCCTAGCATGCTCAAACTCCAGGGTTCCATCTTTAGCAACATGAAAAGAAAATCAAGAAGGTGGGCCAAGGAGATCTGTTGCTAGAATGAAAGCTCCAGCACAGACCTCAACACTCCTGCCCTGCAGAACAGCTGCATGGCCTAGCCAGTTCCTGTCACCAGCATTCTGCTGAAATTGCTTTGTGAAAGGGGGACAACGGGGAAACTATGACTTTCAAACCTGTGACCTGGTGACAAGATGCATGGGAGAAGGGGAGAGGAGTGGGCCTGCTCAAAGGCTTGGCTGTGGGACTGACTTAGAGAGAGCAGACTCTGGACAAAATCTGGCCTTGCTTAGATCAACCATTTAGAAAAATAAGTCCTTAAGAAAGGACATCTATAGATACTCCAGTAACTTGGCAGGGAGATGAAATGCTACAAAGTTTCATGCCTGGTTTGATGCTTGCTTTGAAAGGTTGAAGGAATCCAACACTGAGGTGAACCCACAGAGAGCACCGCTCAAAGTGACAGCGTTGGAGGCTGTGAAGGGAAAGGCATGTCTAGCTGTTAAAGGGCAGGGGTGACCACAGAAACGGAGAAGAAAAGGAAAAAGTCATGGAGCTAAAGAAAGAAGGAAAGGATAAAGACAGGATTTGTGAACGTGGGGTCAGCAAGAGTAAGGAAGAACAAAGCCAAGACACACCACAGTTTTCCGAGGAGTGCAGGGTATGTTGGTTTCTCTAGTATGACTGGCTGTATTCCTGAAGCACTGCTCAGATTCCTTCCCAAGCCCATCCCTACTGTACAGATGTAAAGATATGATCAGATTCCCAGCCCCTCTGGAAATTTCAGGTTTGCTAAGCAAAGAATGTCAACTCTAAATGCCAAGATTCTGATCTTAGCTCCTAGCACCCAGTTCTAGAAACTTATTCCTTAAGCAGGTGATCATTTATTGTGCCAAGAAAGCATCTACTAAGACTCTGCATTGTGTCACATTTACAGCTGTCACTGGAAGTCTGTGTTGTACTCAGCTGCCCAGCGTCACCTCCCAGGTCACCCCAGCCACTCTCTAGGCTTACATCACCCACCTGCTCTTTGAACCTCGAGAAGCCCAGCATCCTTCAAACCTTGAGGCTCCCTTACCTGCTGTTTACCCTGGAATGCTTTCCATCTCCCATGACTCTGTTCAACACACACACACACACACACACACACGCACACGCATGCACGCACACGCACACACACGCACAGGCTTTACCTTTCCATGTATATGTTCAGCCCCACGCAGTGGTTATTTCATTTGTAAGTTGCTTCCATTCAACCCAGGAGACATAATAGAGACATTTGACATTGTTGAATGTAAATAACAAGCTACCTTATTGAGAAGTGAAGGCTCTGTTTATAGAGAAAACGCTTGCGGCTTTGTGAAAACCACACTCAATGAAAAGCTATTCAGCAAGCTAGTGTCCTTTTCCTGGTGTCTTCGTTCTTTCAACAATATACTCGACAACAGCGAGTCCCAGCTCCATCAATGGTGGTGTCTCTCCAGACAAGCTTTCTCATCAGACGACATCTGCCCCTGGAAAGAGAGCCCTCCCTTTAAACCAGGCAGTTAGTCTTTATCAAGCACTAGTGTTATGATACAATGTCCCCACTTTAAAACTCACCTTAAGAGTAAGTTTTGGTGGTATGCCAGAGTTTGAGGCCAGTCTTAGTTACATAGTAAAATTCCACCAAGAAAGAAAGGAAGGAAAGGAGGGAAGGAGGGAGGGATGGAGGGAGGGAAGGAAGGAGAGAGGGAGGGAGGGAGGCAGAGAAGAAAAAAAGGGGGGGAGGAGAGAAGGAGGGTCAGAGGGAGAAAGGGGGAGGAGGGAGGAGGATTCCTAATCTCTGGTAAGAAACAAATCACTTTCAAATACACAGTGTGTGTTCATCTTTTATTTTTTAATTAAATCCAAGCTAAGACATCAACCAAGTCCTCATATTTTCCTCTTCCCTACTGTACTGAAAGGCTATAAAATTCCTGCCTGCTTATCAAATCCGTATTGCAAGAGATTAGAGTTGGGCAGTCTCTCACCAGGCTTATTCTGCAGAAAGTGCTCAAAGCAGACACACTGCCAGGACTTCCTATCTTAGAGGCAAGGAGTCCTACTTGTATGTCGGTGAGCCTAAGAGACCCCAAAAATCTCTCTTTAAAGTTGTAGCTTCGCCTTCATTAGAAAAAAAAAGTCTCCTCTAATACCGTTTTGTCAAATAACCACCTAGCTAAAGCACCGTGCACAGTGCTGGGGCCGACTGGTTCACCCTCTCAGTGGCTCTGGGCTGGAGTAATATGCTTGGATGGGTGTTGGTGAGTGGTCGCCCAGACGGGAATGATGCTTTGTAGCACAGGCACTTAGTTATGGTAAAAACCCGAGACTAACAGGCTGATAAACTGGAATCAAACTTCCAAACCTGTTACTTCAAGATTGCCCTTCAGCGGGCAATCTTGGACAACTGTTTAACCTTCGCAATGCCAAGGTTTCTTTGCAGGCCTGGAGAGAGTCATAGTGCCCAGTCCTGGGGCGTTCTGATGAGCAAGTGAGTTAACCCAGCTTATAGTACTAGGATCGCGCCCGATGAAAGCAAGGATGTGGTTCTCAACTCTCAGTCTTTTAGCTAAGGGTGCTTGAAACTCCCCAACACGACCGAGTTTGAATCAGCTCTCGGAGTTAGAAAACTTGAAAGCCTTGGGACTCAAACCCCAGCGCAAGAACGGAACACGAACAGGGCTGCGGCGCAGTACAGCTTTCTCTCCAATCAGAGTCCGCAGGGCTGGAGCCACGTTTGCGACCTCGTCCAATCTGGTCCCCAGAAGGGCGGGGACGCCTACCTGCACCTGTAGCTAGGCGGCCGCCTCCTTTCCCACCCTGACCCTCCCCCTCCCGTCCTCCTCAGTTCTGGTGTCTTCAGGTCTTTGGCCAGCCACCAGCAGGTGGGTAGATGTCTCAGCGCGACGCTCAGGAAAGGCGAGTGCGCCGGAGTCAGCAGTCCAGGTCCTGCCTAGCTGAGGCCAGAGAGGAGAGTGAACGGGAAGAAAGGACGCGCCCCAGAATGTGAGACTCCCACCGGGAAAGGCTGACTGAGCTCGCCCTGGGGCGGCGGATCTGACAGCCCCTGCCACTGGAGCGGACCGTGCTGCCAGCCCCAGTTTGTTCCCAGAGTGTGCGAGAGTCAGGGGTTGTTGGACGAGATCAGCAACAACGATTCCTGCATCTACTAGTCAGCGACAAGAGACAGCGCGACTAAGCTTCAGGCACCCCGGGCCCCCCCTCGGTGCTCTAGACAGCCCGCGAGGCGCGGCGCCGCAGTGGCCCTGGAAGCCCCTGCAGGTGAGTGTGCCAGAGTCCCTCTGCGTCTCACAAGGCAGACCCTGGCTCTGCGTTGTCCCTCGGGAACTCTGTCTACTAGCGCTTCGCAGTGCCCCTCCTCCTGCTGCCGGAGGAGAGGCCCCCAGAACGGCGATCTGCCTACTTTTGCATTATTTGCAACCTTTTCCTTGCGCAATTCTCAGAAAGCCTTTCCGTACACACCAAGTTGATCACTGTGGAGAAGAAAGTGTTGGGTGGCTGCCCACCACCATTAATAAATGCCTTGTGTGTGGGAGGGGGTGTTTTTCCCGATCTGCAAAACAGGAGAGAGTGTGGCGTTTGCAGACCCCAACGTTGATGGTGCCTAAGGGTGTGAGCGCCTTCCTTAGGGAAAGAACTTAGAGCTGCTTCTGCTTTTACAGTTTTCAAGCCCCTGCCCGAGTGTGTCCTCAGGGCATCCCAGGGAGGAGATGGTGCCAGCGGCCGCTGCGCCGCCTCCCTGTAGGCGCAGAGACTTCCTCTATCAGGCAGTTCCGGGAGAACCTGCAACAACAAACGCCACACAAGTTTCCCTCCTGCGCACTGGCGAATCCCAGGAGCGCCGCGGTGCGTGGGCTGCGAAGCGGCGGCGGAGCTGAAACCTAGAAATGGGCGGTGCGCGCGAGCCCTGCCCACCCGCGGTGGCCGTGTCCAGTAGCACGCGCACGGGAAGTGTGCCAAGAGTCTGGCTTGCAGTATCAGGAGCGTTTGGGCTCCGTTATTCAGTGTTTGGGGAAGAATGGTTTTCTGGAGTTCCTGGCTGAGCTCTCTTCTTTGGAGGATGGAAACGCAATCCGCAAGGGAAAGTACCAGAAGCCTTTGGTTTACAATAAGTAAAATCCTTAAGAGTTGGAGAACTGTGAAAGAAGTGTTAGGGCTCGCACCTTCCAACAGTATTGAGATTGGCCCTAGGGCGTAAAAAGAAGAGTGAGATGGCGGTTTCCAAGGGAAGTTAAGTCTAGACAGCCTTTGAAAGTCACAAGGCAGAAGTGGTTTGAAGCAGTTTGAAGCAAGCACAACGATGAATTTATGCGCCCCGCTTTCTCACTTAGATACATCCCCAAGCATCGTAGAAAAAGCCTTTTACAGAAATTTGAGCCACGCTTGCTAGCTTGCTCCTTATGGCTTGCTCAGACTGCTTTCTTATAGAGCCCAAGCCTGCCAGCCCGGAAATGGTCTCACCCACAATGGTCTGGGAACTCCGTCTTCAATCACTAATAAAGAAAATGCCTGATCTTCATTCATCTGTGATGGGCAGGACAAGCTAGGTTCCCCACCTCACATCCACACACCTCCCCTCCTGGTGTTCCTCTGAAGGAAGGCGGTTCTAGGGCAGGTGGGCACCTGACTGGTCCTTATACAGTCAGGCTGAGTGTTAGGACAGGCCATAATCCCTCTGGAGCCAGGCTGATCTCCACTAGATAATACTGCACTTGCTTGGGAGCTAAGGCAAAGGTTGAGGCCAGGAGTCCAAGGAGATCAAGCTTGAACATCAGACGTTGTCCTGCTGGTGGCCAGTGGTCACAGAGTTGAGTGAGCCCCAACTCTGAGGAGAGTAGAATGGGGAGCCTGTTACTTTGACCAACCCAAGTTCTGGTTTTCTCTCTGTGCAGGTCGCTCCCTTAACTTCTATCCGGCAAGCCTGCGTGGGAGACGCCTGGAAGGGCTGGAGTGAACAATCTGAGACCACGGAAAAGAGAGCAGACGTCCTGGCCCAGGCTCTTCCCCGCGCGGGGTGCCCGGGGTCGCCCGGCCTTCGGGCCATGGCGGACAGTGGCAGCTCCAGCCCCTGGTGGAAGTCGCTGACCAGAAAGAAAAGCAAGGAAGTCACAGTGGGGGCGCAGCCTCAGGTTCAAGTTCGACCAGAGACTGGACAGGATCCCTCACCACCTTCCTCAGATCGGACTAGCAGCTCACAAGAAAATCAGCACTCCAATGTCCTTGGGGACACCGGTGAGCCCCTCAGATCAGATAAGTTGTGTGAGGAGAAATCAGGCAACAGCCGGCGTAATTTGAAGATTTCACGCTCTGGCAGATTTAAGGAGAAGAGGAAAATGCGTGCCACACTGCTCCCTGAGGGAGACAGGTCCCCTGAGGAGGCTGACTTTCCAGATGACTCCCAGGAGGACAAGCAATAGCTGAGCAAGCTTCCAGGATTGTCTCTCTCTGCAGAGAGAGAAAAACACTATTACCCCTAGACCTAGTACTTGATGCTTCGCCCAAGTTCAGAATATGCAGTTGACCAAGGCCTTCAAGATTTAATGTTTTCTAGAAAGTGATGTGTCATCTGAGTCCTCAATAGTCAATGACTCAGAGACTAAGTAAGTATTTTTTGTGGGAAGGACAGATGTCTACTGCTGAAGAAATTGGCTTTTACAAAAGTTATTCTGAGGTGTCACTATTGTTTCTGTCACCTGTGGGAGTGACAAGGCTCCATGGATATTTCAGAGGCAATAAATAGGTGACCCTCTCTCCAGCTTCTCAAATGAGGAAGCCATGCTCTTACTGAGGACCCTGGAGAGCAAATGACAGCACTGTTTTTAATGGCTGAGAAATGCACTTTAGGGTACTACCCTGATTTAGTTCTATGTGAAGGGATGAGGGGCTCCTCCCAGGTAGAAGCATTGAAAAGTAATATTGCTTTAAGTGAGGACTCCCAAGCTGTATGCCTGTTTAGTGTGCACTATTAAAATGGTTGAACTGTAAGACTTAAGGTGACTTTGTATACTTAGTTTTTTCTCTTCTAAGTTTTGAAACTCGTCATACTTCAAGGCAGGCATGCAAGGTCTTAAGTGACAAGGTTAATCATTTACTGCACGGCTCCTGTTGGAAAGCTGCTGGGCAAAGAACTTTTCTAGAAACCAGCAACACCCAGCTGGAACCAGTTTGCCAGATATTCCAATTTGCCAACCAAATTCAATAGAAGGGAGTGGTACCAATTCAGGCTACCTTACATTCTCCTGTTCCTTCATTTCCACAGAGTAACTCTCAAAGCCAATAATGCGTCCTTTCTAGCATCCATTGTGAACCTCCCAAGAATTGTCCAAAAACATTTTAATGCACGCACGGAGCTCATTCAGTTTGTGCAGAGCTGCTTTCCCCACCCGTGGCTTCAAAGCCTATGGCATTTAGTCTGGATCTACATTTATCTCATTTCAGAGCCTTTGATCTGTCAAGCGGAAGATTCTTAACAACAACAACAAAAATCTACCCATTTGCTTTTCTTACAAGCTTCAAAAAAAAAAAAGAGTACATGAATACCACCTGCTCTCAGCAGATTACAAGAGAGTATTGTACCCTAGAGAGACACTGAGACCTTGTCCCAGCACACCCTGCTTCATTTACAAACAAATGCAAAGCAGGGAAATCACCCTCACTGAAATGTGAGTCTTTGTAGTCCATAACAGGGAGACATTTGGTTGGAGGGGCTCTATAGGAAGGCCGGGCTTCCTGTTGTCGTTATTATAAAGTTACATATTTATGAAATAGTAAAACATGTCAGCTATCTACAGAAACCTCACAGAGATATTTGGTGAGGATGGCTATGCATTGAAGTTAATGACTTGAGGTTGGGTACCACAGAATAATAATAAAGTGAATGGTCTCAGTTTCTATATAGCTAAGACCTTACTCTAAAGGAAATTGCTGGAGATTATTTACCTGACAGTTACGAATACCTTACAATAAAAGAGAAAATTGCATTTTTCCTTTTATTGTTTTTTTTTATATTCTTTGTAAGCATGAGAAGACTTTTAAAGAGTATTTAGGAGTAGAAAGTGTGTGGCCAGTGTCCCTGGGAGTGTGTGGCAGAGCGGGGGCTGGACAGCGTCTGGGGTGGCACATCTGGGGCAGGTTCAAGGTTGGCCTCTTGGATGAGAAAGATTCTCATGGCTTTTAGTGGACTTCCTATGTCTAGACTCAAATGAAGGAGAGCTGGGGAATGAGCGTGGATGAAAGCCTGTAGATGAGGGGTATGGGCTGGGCTGGAGTGAGCAGTGTGGATGTTGAGGAGTAATGTTTGGAGAACCTTTACTAATATTTCAATTTGTAGGAAATAATAAACCTAGAACAGGCACCTACGCAAAATGTCTTCTACCCGCAGGAGGACTGTAAGTCAGAACTGTTCTCATGTATAAAATCGGGTCTGCCCCTGAATCATTTAAAATCTTATACGTGCTCTTTCATCTACTTTTTTTTTTTTACTTTAAGAACTATCCTGTCATCACCACCACAATCATCATCATCTTCTTCTTCCAAACCCCTCTAGATCCACAAAAACATTGGCATTTTCCCAGCTTCCGTGTGTGTGTGTGTGTGTGTGTGTGTGTGTGTGTGGAGTTGGATCCCATCCAACTCTATAATTGCATGGATATCCAATAGCAGGCCCAGGGCTACAAGGTAGGACCGTGACACACTCACCCCACTATTCTGAAAGGAAGCCATGCTCTAGGCAGTTTTGACAGTGAGTGCAATTCACAATCTGCCAGCTGAGGTTTGTAATTACATCGTTTTCGAGTGCTCCTGAATTATGCATCAGGAAGAACACACTGATTTAATCCCAAGTCGGGGAAATCTGAAACCACACAAAATTGGTAGGATAATAAGATCATGAGGTAGATAAGATAATTTGACAAAGTGTCTTTCTGGGATTTGTATTCTTTGCAGACAATTAATTACATTCTGAGAATCTGTACCGATTTTTGACGCTTCTTAAATCTTGCAGTCTTACAGCAAATAAAGGGAAATTGCTGTCGAATGACTTTGGAGTTTATTAAATTATATTTTTTTCATCTGCTTTCAAATGTCTTTATAAGTAAAACTTCACCCCCAAATTTGGAAGCCATTACAGAATATTTAATGCTGTGCCTTCCACGTGATGTAAAAGGAGACACAAAGGACCAGTGGTGTGCTCCCTAAACAGTCTTGTAACCATGACAATTACACATGGGTGGTTTTGCCCCAGTGAGTCTCCTTGCAAACCTGGTGGCTGAGCAGTGAACTCATATTTCAGGTCCCCTGGTTGTCCCTCTTAGGTTTGCTCTTCCGCTGCTATCCGCTCTGGCGTTCGGTTCAAAAGCCCGGGGCCTCAGTTCTGATTGTGCAGGGACATACTTGAGCTCAGCCTCAGCTTCTGAGCAGTTTCTAAAGATTTTGTTCTGAGACTTTATGTGAGGATAGCGCCTCAGGTGCTGCTGCCCAGTCTTTCTTTAGAAGGCAGACATAAAGCCGGTAGTGAACAGGAATGTTGGCCAGAGCCTCATCAGGAATGTTTTCTTGAGAGGCACAGAAGAACATTTTGATACTTTAAGATGAATAAATCAGACAGCAAGCAGAAAGAATGCCAAGTAATAGGTGAACATGAAAGCAATACAAGAGTGGGCGGAAACATCCATGGACCAGGAACCTGTTATAGGGAAAAAATATAACAAACAAAACAAAACAAAACCACAATATCCTTTGTCCTAAGTTGAGGCATCTGGCCACACTAAAAACCAGCACACAAAAAGCTAGCTATACTAAGCTGATTTTTTAAAAAAAAATTGTAAAGTTTATTATTTAAAAAAAAAATCCTTTGGGGGAAGAAACACACACACCCAAATTAACCAGACTCAAAGTCTATACAACTCAATGAACTTTTCATTAAATAAAAACAGGTATTTGGAACGAAACTGATTTTTTTAAATCTTTTTATTTTCTAAGAAATATCTTACATAATAATATAATTTTACATAGTACAAATAGCTACACTAAATTGTAAAAGTTTTTCTTAGGACAAATTTATCTCGATAACTAATAAGAAGTGGGAGCATTTGGATGTCAACTTACAAGAACACTTTTTTAGGAATGACAGTGGAACTCTGTGTGAACTTGTGAGTCCTAGTCTGCTGTCTGGTGGCAGCACTGCCCTTGTCGCCTGGTCTCAGCCCTTCCTGGCTCCATTCTCACCTTTGATCCATGGCACACACCTTCCCGTGAGGCTCAGCGGTGTGGAAGGGGAACTCCAAGAGGCCCTGTGAGAGCTTTTCCAGCCACTGAAGGGCTGGACCTCAGATTACATAGCAGATGCAGCCACCAGTTGTCACTGAAAGAGGAATGTGAGGAACCTAGAGGGGCCTGACCATAGCAGCATCAGCTGGGCATTGTAAGGAAGGGTAAGAGCCAGAGGCCATGCTAAGTAACAGTGAAGACCAAAGACAAGCAATCCCTACAGGTATCAAGCAAGGGCTCTAACTGAACTGGGCTACAGGTAAAAGTGTAGGCTTATAATCATCATGCCAGAGTTTTTGGCCTAACCCCATGAAATAATATGAACCGAGGAAAGTGTTTCTTTATCCCCAGGGTGTGGAACATGACTGTTAATCCCGAAGTTAAATTTTTCTGGCTCCTAACCGGTAAGTTTCACATTAAGGAAGGCAAAAATAAAAATCCCCAGCCCTGACTGACTGGGTAAGGGATTAAGAGCCAACCTCTAGCTGCTCTGTGCTGTTTTTTTCCTCCCAGAGGGACTTAGCCTCCTGTTACAAACACCCTGCATTAAAAGCTTCTCCTAGTAGCCAGTGAGTAAGTGTGACATTGGCTCACACCACCTCCAGAGGATACCCAACGGAAGCCTCTGTACTTTCCAGGACACCTGTTCTAGTGCTTTCTCTGACTTGCTCTTCTACAAATCTTAGGTAACCTGGGCATTTATTTACTCTGCCATAAAATGAAGGGGTGGAGGTTATATTCCAGCTTTAAAACCCTCTTTCCTGGGCTGCTATTTTAAGCAACTGGTAGTAAAATTATATATAACATTCAGTGTTTGCCTTAAAATGGGAGGAACGAGCATCTGACTTGGTGATCAGATGCTCCCAACACCTTGTTGTCATTTGGCCCAGAAACTGACTGTTCTCCTACTACCTGGGAACATTGAGTCGCTTTATTCATGGTGAAAATGCAGTTGCAGATATTGTAGCAAATAAGCCTTGAAGCATGTACCACAGGGACTGCGAGCATAGCTCTAAGATGAGAAATGCTTTTGGTACAAGCATGCGAACTCATGTAAAAACCTGGGCCTGGTGGCATGGGCTTGTAATTTTAGCTTTGGGGAGTTAGAGACAGTCAGATCCCTGGGCTTTGCTGGCTATCTTAGACTGACTGGCATGCTCCAGGCCAATGAGAGTCACTACCTTAGAAACAAAGTGATAGCTCGTGAAGAATGACACCAAAGGGTGACCTCTGGTCTCTACACACAGACACACAGGCACACAGACACACAGACACACAGACACATACACACCACACACACACACACACACACACACACACACACACTGTGATTTAGGCTGAGGACAGAGAATGCAAGAATGTCTGTTCATCCATCACTAGCGCTGTAAAGAAAAACAAGATGTGTTTTCATATCTGTAATATCATTTGTTCCTCATAGTTGGCTCTTGAGTGTACATGTTGTTAATAAAGCAGACAGCCTATTTGAAATATTTTCCCCGTTCTAGGTGATGCTATCCTAGGTCAGGAACTCACACGTGCACATGTGCACACATGCATACTTCTCTCTCTCTCTGTCTCTCTCTCTCTCTCTCTCTCTCTCTCTCACACACACACACACACACACACAAGCATGGGGACAGTCACTCTCAATTCTTTATCCTTTTCTGAATCCCTTCAGGGAAGACTGCCCCTTCACAAGGGCCACCATCTCACTCTCCGTCTTTC